CCCCTCTTGCTGTCCCTCTCTGGTCAAATTAAAATAAATAAAGTTAAATAAAGTAATTATTTAAAAAAAAAACTGCCAATGGGATGTAAGACTTACATCCTGGCAGGAATTTTGACTGCTATTCAGGATCTTTTACGTACCTCATAAGATAATGTTCATTAGTAAATAGGACATGATACCAAATCTGGAATAATGCATTAGTATGAGGAAAGTCAACTCAAAATCCAAGCAGTAATGTAACACACAGACTGCTGGCAAAACCGATATGTCTATTTAATCCTTCTTTTCCATGAAAAGTCCAAGAGGTTATATAGATGATGTTACATATTCAAAAAAAATGAACAAAGGAAAAACTCCAAGCATCCTTAAAAACAAGGGGGCTGGCAGGGTGTTATAGCAGTTAAAGCACTGACCTCCTATGTGGCTGGCTACGACCTCAATCCTGGACTTGGCAGCTTAAAATCACACCAGGCACATATGTATGCATGCCCAAAGTCCCAAGAGAAGGGACTGTGGCATGGCCATCCCTGCAGGGGGTTATTTCTCACTTTCCCTCTCCCTGTATCTCTCTGTCTCTCTGGCAAGTGCACACGCTCCATGACAGACCAAAAAAAAAGAAAGAAAAAAAAAGGAAAAAGAATCAGAATAAATGATGTGACTACATTTGAAAATGGAAGAAGTGGGGCCAGCAGATGGTGTACTGGTTAGGTAGCTGGACTCCCACATTACTAACTGTAGTTCAAATCCTGGACCCAGTGACTTGATATTCACGCCAGGAGTGTGTGCCCTAAACTCCAAAAAGAAGAACTGAGAAGGGACTGCAGTGTGATCATCCCTCTCGGTGGGTGATTTCTCACTTTCTATCTCTCTGGTGAGTGCACATGCATTGTGGCAAAAAAAATCTTTTTTTTGGGGGGGAAGGAAGAAGGAAGCCATGAAGCTCGAAACATTATGAAAATAAATCTGATTGAAATTCACTGAAATTCTTCAGTGGCTTTCCACCACCATCAGGGTACAATTTAAACCTCTCCTGATTACACCGATTCTTTACAATCTGGTCTCTATTTAGAGGTCCAGGCTAAGTTCTCCCTTCTCTCTCCAATCAGACTAAATAAGCTGCCATTTCCCAGAGAACTCTGTTTTCTCACACCCTTCTGCATAGTGCACCTTCCCTAACCCCAACCAGCTGCATAAGTTACACCTCTTATGTATGCCTGTGCTTCCCGTTATTACGGCATCTATCACACTGTACTTACAGAAATTGATAGGCTGTCTGTTCATCTACTGTCTCCCTCACTGTGAGCTCCTTCCCA